TACTACATTCTAAGTTCTGAGTGCGCTTGCCGAGTAAGGAACTTTAAAATTTCAAGATACTTTCGGGACTGCATCTGTTTGTGTCATTTGTGAAGTAACTTTCTTTACCGAACATCAAACTCTGTCGTTGCCAGAGCTGAACCACAAGATGACGCCGCGGCCACTAAGTATTTGTGCGGAAGATGCCTTGTCTGGCAAACTCGGAGAGGCAATTGAATGGTCGTTTCAGAAAGAAAAGAACCATTAACATGTTCATAGCAGAGTTTTATCTGCACAGAGTTTTGTCAAATATGAGGCCTAGCGGTTTAATCAAAAAGCATGGGAAACCATAGCAAGCAAAGCTTCAGCCAAGAGAGGAAAAACCGTCAAAACCCAAAGTTAAAAATTAGGCTATTGGCAGAAATAACAAAAAAGCCACCAAGATTGAAACAAGAGACAAAAAAGAGGAAATACTCAAATTGAAAGATTAAAACTCAAGTGAAACAAAAACCATGCAAGACAAAGATTTGGTTGTGCAGAAAATGACACGAGAACTGCTTAGTCATTCTAATCGAAGATTACTACAAACTATAGCTCCGAGTGCTACCGATATATCGAGTTATGAAGAGATTTACAATAAACTCGAAAAGAAAAATCAAAGTTTTTGATTGCGATTTGAAGATGCTCGTAAATTGTTCGAAAACTTGCAGGCAAATTTGAAACGCTCATGGAAATATCTGCAGGTTCAAAAAACTTTGGTAATCAATTTTTTTTTACGTAAGTGTATATCACCAGTCTGATAGATAGAAAAGGAAGCCCTGTGAAATCCAAGGTTCAATTATGTTGATCCCAAATGGCGTGGTTAACTAATAGTTCTACCGAAAGACAAGGTAGCAAAAAAGATGAGATCGAAAATTGTTTTGAACCATGCGAATACCCAATGTATGCTCATTATTTGTAGCTTATTGCTTATACGACAGATTACCATCCTCGTAAATGATCTGACTGGGATCTTCAACCAGTCGCGCATCCTCAAATCACAGAAAACGATTGCAGTAGGAGTTTTGAGTGCGCCTCCCGAGCAATGAAATCAACATCAAGAACGACATGACAGCTTCATAGCTAATATGGAGGACGTGAAGCTGAAAATAGCCAGAGACAAGGAAGGACAGATTGTCTTTTAAGCAAAGACAATATCGCGAGAAACGAGATCAAACTCTAAAAAGGACACAATAGCATGATCACACCAGCGGCTTCATGCGACGAATGAACAAACCTCTACTTGGTAAAGCGCATGACGTTAGGTTACTGACAAATTGATACTACACTTCGAATTTTGAAGTCAAGTGGTCCTCGACTTCACAAGATTGTGTCGCAAAAAAAACTTCTAGCTAAACAGCGAAAAGATGTAGAACAAGTTTTGGGCTAAGTTTGAAAAAATAACACAAAAAACTTTTCAGACTGAAAATAACAAATACAATTTTATGTGGCATGCCACAATTTAGACCAAATGGGAAAAAAAACCAACTTAGCTGATTTTTTTTAAAGAAACCAGGATATTTAAAGACACTTTAGAGACTGGATCTATTTGTATCATCTGGAAAATAACTTTCCCGAACATCAAACTCTGTCGTTGCTCTGAAAAACAAGATGACGCTGCAGCCACTGAGTGTTTGTGCAAAAAATGCTTGTCTCACATATTCGGAGAGGCAATTTAACGGTCGTTTCAGAAATAAAAGAACCATTAACATGTTCATAGCAGAGTTTTATCTGCACAGTTTTGTAAAATACGAGGCATAACGGTTTAAGCAAAATGCATGGGAAATCATATCAAGCAAAGCTTCAGCCATGAGAGAAAAAACCGTCAGAACTCAAAGCTAAAACTTGAGCAATTGGCGGAAATTAAAAAAAAAGCCAAAAAGAGGTTGAAACAAGAGACAAAAAGAGAAGAAATATTCAAATTGAAAATTAAAAAACTGAAGCGAAATAAAAACCATGCATGACAAATTGTTTGATTTGCAGAATCAGACACGAGATCTACTAAGTCATACTTATCGAAAGTTACTACAAACTATAGCTCCGAGTGTTACCGATACATCGAGTTATGAACAGATTTACAATAACTCGAGAAAAAAGCAAGCAAAGTTTTTGATTGCGATTTGAAGTTGCTCGTAAGTTGTTCGAAAACTTGCAAGCAATGTTTGAAACGCTCAAAGAAAAATCCGCAGAAAACACTGGTAATCAAAATTTTCACCTTAGCGTATATCACCAGTCTCTTTTAATAGAAAAGCTCTGTGAAATCGAAGCTTCAACTATTTCAGTTCATAAAATGGGACTGATAAACATATATGCAGCCTGCATTTATTGAAACATGTCGAGCAACCAAGAAACGCTTCATGTTTTTTGTGGCATTTATAATGATATTAAATGGCGTGACAAAATAATAATTCTACCGAAAGACAAGGCAGCAAAAAAAGATGACATCGAAAATTGTTTTGAAACAGCGACTACCCATTGTATGCTTATTTAATTGTAGCTTATTGCTTACATGACAGATTACCATCCTCGTAAGTGGTCTGACTGGGATCTTCAACCAGTTACGCACCCCGAAATCACAGAAAGTGACTGCAGTAGGAGTTTTGAGTGTGCCTGCCGAGCAATGAAATTAACTTCAGGCCCAACAAGTCACCTTAGAGCTAAAACCGAGGATCTGAAGCTGCAAATTGCTAGAGACAAACAACAACAGAACTACCCACCGAGAAAAGTATCTACCTAATCAAGAAGTCCTAGCTCATGAGACCTACTTCGGTTAAAAGGCTTACTTCATTGTGAACAGTTGCAACATCATCAAGAAAATCGACAAAAAAAGGTCCTTCAGCAAAGAGAGAATTGATGAAAAAGAGTCCTCTTCACCTGCAATAACCAAAGGTTTACCACAGATCTTTAAAAAACGCAAGACGAAACCATTTTCCCCCAAGAACTCGTTCAGTTGTTGTCTAACTCAAATTTATATTATGAAATCATAATTCAGAGTCAAGCGACAAAAACCAAATCGCGCCACATGCATTTTCGAAACTTAAGTATGTGCTATCATGGACCAAAATTTAAGAAACTTACTACAACGGGATACAGGACGGCGACTACTCCGTTCACACCACTCAGTGTTGCAATGCAAATGTAGAGTATAGATGCATATAACATAATTGTATCGCTACGATTAGGACACTTTGTAATAGCATCGGTATACGGCCTTAAGGTCCAGCAGGAAGAGAAACGAGCAGCTTTGAGCTGGAAATTGAAATAACAACATCAAGCGTGGCGTTGTGGCGCATCGGTAGTGATGGTGCCCAGCAATCATATGATTACGGGGTCAAACCGCACAAGCGCTGCAATTTACCAGGTAAGCTCTTGTAGGATAGCCATAGCTTAGCTATCCTTAAATAGTTAACCTTCGAGTTAAGACTCTGGCTGACCGGAGATTATCTTGTCTTCAGTTCTTTAGCTTGTTTTTAAAGAAGAAAAACAAGTATTCAGTTTATCAACAGCAGCCAAATACAGTGTGAGCTACATTAGTTCATATTGAAAGTCAACCATTGCCATCAACATGCAATAAAGATGGAGGTTGCCCAAGACAAGGCCTTTTCTAGTAATTTTTGGAATAGAACCAACGCAACTCCCAGATGCCAAAGCAAACACATTGGACAGGCTTCGACGAAGCCTCAAAAGCAAGGAAGTTCAGAAAACGAACTGTTCGGATATTCGCAGAAACCTCAACGTAGTCATAATGCACAGTAGTGGCAGATAGTAGTTCGCACAGCTACGATATCTGCCACGACCAATAGGCAAGTGGCTAACACCTGGAAAATCAGTTATGAAACAGAACTTGAAACACTCACCCAGAACAGAACATATATTAATAAGTAATCAACATTCTTAATTTGTTTAATTTTTATTTTATTTTTTGTAAATGTATTTGTATAAATTCTTTCTTTCTTTCTTTCTTTCTTTCTTTCTTTAACATTTCTTAATTAGTAATTGAATGGAACAACAAAGGGAAAAATGATGAAAGCAGTGAATCAACAGTGGTGCCCCTGAAGGCAGCCAGGAAATCTAAAAGAAAGAGCCTCGCCTTTCTTGAGAGAATCGTGGAATAACAACATCGCCGAGTGTGAAAAAGCAGCAGGCAAAAACGACATGGGCAGCATGCATGTATAGAGCACCAACGAGAATGGGAACTCGGTTCTGCAAACTTCATGAATATCAAAGACGGAAGATCTTCCAGTCACCTTGAATTTCGCTTAACGCACAGAAATAAACGCATGTCTTGAAGATATAAGAGAATATGGTGTATATATTTATAGATGTTGCATTCAATCTCCAAGTTAACTGATTTTCAAATGCTCAGAGACTGTTCATATGATATTTCTTTTAAATACAATTCTATCGATTTAGGAACTCCCCTGCTTACGAGCATTTTAAAATTTTATTAAGATTGACAAAAAAGTTAAACTCAGAAGCTCATCTTAATGGATTTTTCAGTTCTGAAAAACAAAATGCTAACAACCGCCGGTCAGTTGAAACTTCTACTTTTCCAACCACCTTTTTTTATTGTTTACTTTTTTAATCTGATTTTTATCGCAATTGATAATTTCGGTATCTTTCATCTTCAACTAAAATCCATTTCTTTTTATGTTATAACATTTTTCGCACAATTCGTTTCGATGATTCTAGTCTCTAAAAATTTATGATTTTGGTTTTATCCTGTGCTCCAAGATAAAAGGTCTTCTCTAGTCCCCCTTTAAATGTTTTTTTTTAGAAACTTAAATTACAAAAGTCTATTTATTCAAAATTACTTTTCATTTTCTAAACTGTGATGGAACGTGTCAATGTGAAGAAGTGAACAAATTGTTACAAAACTTCTTACATGGGACTTGCCGTATGAATAATTTTTTGAACTTTACAAGGGTGGGAAAAGAGCCCAAGACGCAAGAAAAAGGTCACAAGACATAAGCAATTCGGACCTTTTAGGATCGATGACTTTAATCCAAAACGAAGGCAGTGGAATTTTATCTTCGACCTCATCTTCCGGCCTCGGAAACGAACTGTCCGACGGCTCCTTTGTATCTCCCGAGAAGCCCACACTTTTTCTCACTTGCTTCCCAATTGTCAATTCTTCACCTGTTTTCAATCCATACCTCTGTTTACAATACAAAGAGCATTCGTGGTACTGATTTGAAGTATTCGGACACCCCTCAACTGGTCCTCGAGGGGGGCTAATCGGTCTGGTCACGACCCCTACTGATTTCTTCGACTTAAATGATGAAGACGATTTCAGTGCCGATTTGATCGGTACTGCTGATTTGAGGTGGGTATTGCTGAGGCTACTTTTATCTGCATTATCAGTCGTGTCGTCATCGCTGCTTGAAGATGAATTGTCTTCTTCCGCATCGCTGGCGTCTTTTTCCGCCGAGTAATCTTCAACTAGAACTTCTTCGTTGTCCTCAGCAGCCACTTAAACAGAAGTAATCAAGAAGAAAAACAACATGAATTGAGTAACTTTGTTTACTCTCTCGGCTGGCAAGTTATTTGCAAACTAATTTTCAATTTGCCAAAAACTTTTTAAAAAACTTTCAAATTGTCAAAAAATTCTTAAACTTAATGGAATAATAATCTCGTTTGAAAATTCAAAACTTCTCCCGTCTGAATTAGGGCTTTAATTGAGTTTAAAATGAATTTGAAACGCAGTGAAGCAAATTTTATTGTATTTATATTACGTTGATTTAAATGAAAAGATACTACTTCGAAAGATTTTCACAAGAAAAACTGAATAGATCTTGAAACTTGTTAGATTATGTTTATTTCTTTTTGCAGTACTTTTCTGGTAGAATCAATAGATAGCACTATGCTAGACACTATTTGGTTTCAAGCATTTGACAGTTTTTTATTGTATCACCTTTCGAAAGTGACGGAATATTACAGTTCGGGCTAGTTTTTTCTCCAGACCAATTTCCGACTTTTTAACGACTCATGTTTTTAAGGACTCATCATTCTTAATCTCATACTGGCACCCGGAAATCATAACTAAAAACAACCTGTGATTCTTTTCCGAAAATTCTGGGGGTTTGAAAATTGCCAATTTGAGATAACTAACGCGCAATATATTTCATGCTATTTAAGCATGATCGGTAAAATATACAGAGCTGATTTAAATTAACCGGATAAAACGCGTTAAACTTGAAACTTAAAACCCATTTTTTTCAAATTGAGTTGAGTTTAGATGAAAACTTATGAAAACAAAACTTGCCTAAAATTTAAGCAGAATTAATATGGTGTAATTTGTTTCGCAAAATTCGTGCCCAAAATTTTACCGCAAAAATGGGTCATTTTGGCTTTTCTTAGTTAATCAGAAATTACACCAAAAATACCCAGTCGATCACGACATAATTATATCAAAGGGCGCCTCTTATGTAGACCAACAAACTTTATGAAGGGTATTCTCTCCAAAAGAAATTTGGAAGTTGTTTAAAAATTGTTTTTAAATAAAAAGTTGGTGTTTTATATAGTAAAAACGACCTTTTTTGTTTATCAAACAAAAATAAATTAACTTGTACAATAATTTGGAGATTATACCCTTTTTTAAATTTTGTTGGGCTATGACCATTTGTAACAAATAATACGCTAACGTTTGCAAGCCCAGTAGTGTAATATATTAAACTGTGTCGTAATTTTCCACGTATTTTAACCCCACTCGTCAAATTGCAATACAAAAAAAATCTTAAAAAAATCATACGGCAACTGTCAAGTAAAAATGTTGCAAAAGTCTGCGTATTTACCCACGCATACACGTTTGAGAGCATACACGCAAAAAAAGCACTTACTGGAAATAATTATTACACTGAGTGCAATAAGGTGAAATACTAAAACAAAGTGATATAAGGAAAAATGAGAAGATTATAATACAAATTGAAAAAAACTTTGAATATCAAAATGGTAATTTTGAGACTGGGTAAATCACGTTCTCACATCTGCATTACGACCGTTTTATTTTTTACTAAAACTAGTAACCAATAAAGCAGCAAAAATTCGAGCAAAAAAAATTATTTCAAATTTATGGAGTTGTATCTCCAAACTGATGATTAGGAGATTCATTCACGTCCTCGTATTTGCGCCACTGTCACTTGGAAGTGAACTAGTGATCCAACTAATGCTGGACAAACCTAATTTAATATTTTTAATCATACATTTTCATGATACGGAAATGCGTAATTGTCAAAACTTTAAAATGGACTTTACGCAAAACCCTAGTTATTCCTTTGCTTAAGTAGCAAAAATAGCTGCTGATTTAAATGAGACAACATCTTCTGGATCCTTTAATTGAATTATTTATCTCAAATTTGGGTGAAATTTCAAAAAATGGAATTTCCTGGAGTCCATATCGTCTTTTCTACAGAAAAAAATGTTGCAACAGATTACGCAGGGAGAATTCAAGCACAATGTAAGTTTGATTGAGCTATCAGCCTCGGAAACAGCAGGTTAGTTTTTGAAGAAAAAGTTCGAGAATAGTGATGAAATTTTAAAAAACAGGTAAAACTTAATATCATACTGGCACCCGGAAGTCATAACTAAAAAACAACCTGTGATTATTTTCCGAAAATTCTGGGGGTTTGAAAATTGCCAAATTGCGATAACTAACGCGCGATATATTTCATGCTATTTAAGCTTAATCGGTAAAATATACAGTGCTGATTTAAATTAACCGGATAAAACGCGTTAAACTTGAAAATTAAAACCCATTTTTCTCAAATTGAGTTGATTTTAGGTGAAAACTTATGAAGACAAAACTTGCCTAAAATTTAAGCAGAATTAATATGGTGTAATTTGTTTTGCAAAATTCGGGCCCAAAATTTTACCCCAAAAATGGGTCATTTTGGCTTTTCTTAGTTAATCAAAAATTACGCCACAAATACCCAGTCGATCACAGACATAATTATATCAAATGGCGCCTCTTACGTAGCCCAACAAGTGTTATGAAGGGTATTCTCTCCAAAAAAATTTTGCAAGTTGTTTAAAAATTGTTTTTAAATAAAAAGTTGGTGTTTTATATAGTAAAAACGACCTTTTTTGTTTATAAAACAAAAATAAAATAACTTGTACAATAATTTGGAGATTATACCCTTTTTAAAGTTTGTTGGGCTATGTAAGAGGCTCCCTTTGATATAATTATGTCTGTGATCGACCGGGTATTTTTGGCGTAATTTTTTATTAACTAAGAAAAGCCAAAATGACCCATTTTTGGGGTAAAATTTTGGGCCCGAATTTTGCAAAACAAATTACACCATATTAGTTCTGCTTATATTTTAGGCAAGTTTTGTCGTGATAAGTTTTCACCTAAACTCAACCCAATTTGAGAAAAATGCGTTTTAAATTTCAAGTTTAACGCGTTTTGACTGGTTAATTTAAATCAGCACTGTATCGTTCTAAATTGAAATGAGACCAGCAATTTGCTATTATCAATGCTTTACCAGACACAATTATGTCACTTTATACCTTAAATAGCGGAGCGGAGGGAGGTATGAATCAAACCGGAAAAGAAATCAAATTATTTATTTTTATCAAATAATTTTTGACAAACAAAAACTTTTTCATAGACTTTGAACGGCATTCAGAACATTCAGGCCAAAATATCAGACAACATAAAACCAATCTTCACACTCTTATTCATTGAACCTATTCTGGAAACTAAATATCAGTACACTGGGCGACGCTAAAAACGCAACATGTTTGATCCAGGAAACATTTTTTTGATGCGTGTTCCGATCGTTTATGAGACGCTAAGGGTTTCTCTATCAGACAACATCAAATTTTGAAAACTTCAAAAAATGGAAACAACGCAAACTGGATACCCAAAGCTATCAAATTTGCTTTACAAGCATTTTTTTCTTTTTTTTTGCAACCGTTTTTAATTCACATAATAAATCAGCTTAATGCAAAACCATGTGTTTTCAATGACACTCTGTAAACTTTTGTAAAAAAGACCGTTCGTAACAAATAATACGCTAACGTTTGCAAACCCAGTAGTGTAATAAATTAACCTGTGTCGTAATTTTCCACGTATTTTAACCGCACTCGTCAAATTGCAATACAAAAATGTCCAAAAATAATCATACGGCAACTGTCAAAGAAAAATGTTGCAAAAGTCTGCGTATTTACACACGCATACACGTTTGAGAGCATACACGCAAAAATAAGCACTTACTGGAAATAATTATTACACAGAGTGCAATAAAGTGCAATACTAAAACAAAAAGAAATAAGGAAAAATGAGAAGATTAAAATACAACTTGAGAAAAACGTTGAATATCAAAATGGTAATTCAGCAAAAATTTGAGCAAAAAAAAATATTTCAATTTTATGGAGTTGTATCTCCAGCCTGATAATTAGGAGATTCATTCACGTCCTCGTATTTGCGCCATGGTTACTTGGAAGTGAACTAGTGACCCAACTAATGCTGGACAAACCTAATTTAATATTTTTAATCATACATTTTCATGATACGGAAATGCGTAATTGTCAAAACTTTAAAATAGACTTTACGCAAAACCCTAGTTATTCCTCTGCTTAAGTGGCAAAAAGAGCTGCTGATTTAAAAGAGACAACATCTTCTGGATCCTTTAATTGAATTCTTTATCTCAAATTTGGGTAAAAGTTCAAAAAATGGAATTTCCCGGAGTTTGATTGAGCTATCAACCTCGGAAACAGAAGGTTAGTTTTTGAAGAGAAAGTTCGAGAATAGTGATGAAATTTTAAAAAACAGGTAAAACTTCAAAAATTGGACTTTTTCTACGGCCATATATTTTTCAAAACGCAGGGCATAGCCGCTTGGTTATGGAAGATTCACCATACTGATTTTTTTCTTTCGGTGAAACCCGTACTTTCGATTTGGCAAGGTAGTTTTTGAGAATTTTTCAAAAATTAACCAAAATGTCAAAATAGGCTTGTTTGAAGCCATACCTTTTTTCTACCGAAGTTAGGGAATAACTGTTTGAGAAGGGGTGATCTCCATGATTTTCTCTTTTGATGGAACCTTTTTGCTCTTTTGATTGAAGCCTTCATCTCACATTTGTGCATTTAATAATTGAGAAAATTAAAAAATTTGGAAAAAATAGGTCAAAAATCACCCTGCTGAAAATTTCGAGGCCGTAGAACGTGGGATAAAATGAGAAAAGACTAGCCAAACATTGATGCACATAAAAGAGCAGTCGGTTTGTCTATTGGTACTATTTTTAACAAAAAACAAATCCCAGATACTTTCATATTACCTGTTTTTTTTTTAAACAAGACCTAGCACTACATTAAGGTTAAACAACATATGCTATGAAAAAGTTCTTCGTAACAATACACTACGCTGCACGTGTGTAACCAAGATCAAGGACTAGTAGTGGAATCAACCGTAATGTGTCGATATCGAACTCCCCTACTTGCATATTAAGAGTTACAAAGAAATTCGTGTTATTTTTGAATCGAAAAAGTGGTGGAGGTATTATTTTTTCTAATATCTTTTGTTATTTTCTGAACTAAAACAATTAAAGTAACGTTTCAGTAAAATTGAGGAGCATTAGTTGGATAGTAAAGGACAAGTTAAGTTTGATCACACATTTCTGATAGACTCTGAGACTAACTTGAAAGCACGGAAAACCTTCGACAAAAATTAAGAAAAAAATTTACTTATATTTGGTTTGCTGGTTAACTATTTCACGTCTTTTCAGCCGGGCCAAAAGTGCCGGCGGCAAAGGCATAACTTAATCTAAAAAACCTAACGTACAATTTTTCGCCAGATTACAATGCAGCATAATTTTATCACTTGAATTTACACACATTTTTGCAATAACTGAAAGCATTTAAAGGAATTAAACTCTGAAAAACTTTCGAAATTTTTAAACCAAACTAGCATTCTCTTTCTTTGCATCATAGTTTTTCATCAATATTTGATTATAATTTATTCCACTTGTCAAATCTCCATTTGCATCTTTGTCAGCGAAAACTTCTTTTAGAGGTCTGAAGTCAAAATTCTGAGAAAGTTGATACTTCAAAATAGCCTCTTCCGGCTTCAAACCATACCATTCAGCTTGCTCATAGGGTATAACGTAGTCTTTATATTCTCTTTAATGAATTCAAACTGTTTAGAATCGTTCAGCCAATAAGATTCCTTCGCTAGAGCCTTTAGAATATCTCCTTTTATAGTCAATGCGAAATCCGACAGCAACTCATGTGGCGGTGTCTTCAGAATATAAAAATCAAATCCCTCGTTTTTGTCAATTAAATCCAAAGTTGTGTCCGATACTATCGTTTCAAAATTTCGATCCAGAATTTCGCTGTAACAGGTCCAGTGCATTAATTTCGGGTGCCAGATTGTTCTATGAAGTCTTTCATATCTGTCGCGTTGCCTGAAACCAAAAATCAAACCCTCGCCTCCCCACAATTCTTTCCTGGACCTTTTCGGAAAGAAAACAGGGATAGGTGACAGTGCCTGTTTATACGTTTTCTCAATCCATGGTTTATTTGCGCCTATAGGCACTATATGATTTGGGTTTCTGGGAACTTCCCAATTTCGGTTTGGCGGAGGTCGGGGTTTAAATAGGTCTGTGTAAAATTTGGGCAGTTTTGAAAATATCCCTTCCACGGGGTTTCCGAAGGCGTCGAAGAAGTGATCGTAGGGACCTGGAAACCTCGAAGTTCGGAATAAACTCTTTCTTGGAATTGGCAAGTAAGGGCGGATTCCCATCGTCAAAACATTCAAACTTCTGGAAAAAATAGAACTACGATTTCCAATTCTCTGTTTGTCTCATTTACCACTCAGCTCGCTGTATACAATTCGCAAGTAAGAAAAAACGGAATAAAGGGTTTCGAAAAACAGCGGATAGATTTGAAACAGTTCCTTTTGACTTCATAGGAATTCTGTGGGAGCACAAAATCAGTTCATAGGAATTAACAATTGAGGGAAATCAACAATCCATCGATTGAGGGGAATCAACAACTGCTTAGGGTAAAACTTCAGCCAGTTGAAACCGCCATATACGAATATCAAAACTATAATTGACTCAAATATTGTATTCCTGAACCATTTTGTTTCACGAAAATCTTATTTTGCATGCTTTGGCTCAGGGGAGCGGTGGTAGGTCTCCACCTCACAATAGAAAGGTCGGATGTTCGAGGCCCACCATGTTCCGTGCTCGTTGCTTGAGGGTGAAGCAACATTAACCAGCCAAGAAAAATAACCAAAAAATGGAGGATTTAGTTCTTAAACAGGGACATAACACCGGCTTCCCGTGGTGAGCTGTACATCTTGTATGCTGGTCCTTTCCCTCGTGAATAAATAGTCATTACAAAGCTATTCTCCCAATTTTAGTTTTCCGGAAGAACAATTAAAAATTCATTGCTCATAGGGTATAACGTAGTCTTTATATTCTCCGGAAGAACAATTAAAAATTCATTGCTCATAGGGTATAACGTAGTCTTTATATTCTCTTTAATACAATTCGCAAGTAAGAAAAACCGGAATAGGAGGTTTCAAAAAACAGCGGATAGATTTGAAACAGTAGCTTTGGAATTCATAGGAAATCTGCGGGAGCACAAAATCAGTTCATAGGAACTAACAATTGAGGGAAATCAACAATCGATCGATTGAGGGGAATCAACAAATGCTTAGGGTAAAACGTCAGCCAGCTGAAACCGCCATATACGAAAATCAAAACTATAATTGACTCAAATATTGTATTCCTGAACCATTTTGTTTCACGAAATATCTTATTGTCCATGCTTTGGCTTAGGGGAGCGGTGGTGAAGTGGTTAGGTCTCCACCTCACAATCGAAGGTCGGATGTTCGAGGCCCACCATGATCCGTGCTCATTGGTTGAGGGAGAGGCAACATTAACCAGCCAAGAAAAATAACCAAAACATCGGATGTAGTTCTTAAACAGGGAGGCAACAGCGGCTTCTCGTGGTGAGGTCTCCTTTCCCTCGTGGATAAATAGTCATTACAAAGATATTCTCCCACTTTTAGTATTCCAGAAGAACAATTAAAAGTTCATTAATTGTTGTAAGAGTATTGATGCCTGATGAACATGTTTATTCGTCATATAAAAGATTTTACTAGGGCCGATTAACTATTTTTTCGAATTCAATCTAAATCAAAATGTAAAAAAGAAAATCCACAATTGGCAACCAACAGAGCTACGAAAAACTTTTGGTAAATGACAAAAACAACTTTTTAATGATCTCATAAAATGGACTGCTGCCCGATTATATAGAAAATACATCGAAAATGCTCCAAGGAGTAAGGCGCGTGTAAACCCCCGATAATTCAAAGACGCATGAATGTTTTATCTGATAATTAAAATTACACAGACGCGAAGCTTTGCTACGCAAAAACTCGCGAGATAACGACACAAAGCAGCTCTATAAAATGAAATTATTATGATTATTATTAAAATTCTTAACTTTTACAAAGCTCCAAAGTTGACGGTGGCTAAGTATAAAAATAGTCGGTGAACAAGTGAGTTTTCAAAAGTTTCTTGAAATCGATCAAACTGTCTGCTCGCTCAACACTGGTGGGTACCTTGTTTCATAAAACAGCACCATGGTAAGAAAACATCCGACAGCCGAAAGTATTTCTGATAAAAGGCTGTACAAAATTGAGAAAACCACTTCTTCTAGAGGAATGAGAATAACCTTTGTAAAATAGATCTGACAGATAGTTGGGAACTCTGTCCGCATAAAATAAACAATACAAGCACATAAGCACTTTGAATTTAATACGCGCTCCAACTAGGAGACAGTGCAACTCGTGCAAATTAAGCGTAACATCAACTCTTCTATTAAGTTTGAACAGAAGCCTAGCGCACGGATTCTGAAATCGCTGTAATTTATTAAGAAGAATTGAAGGTAGCCCACAATACAGAGAATTACAATAGTCTAAACAAGATAAAACTAGAGAGATAACAAGGCTGCGAGTAAAATCGAATCCTAAATGCCGTGAAAGTGATGAAATCGGTCTCAGTTGATAATGACATAATGCACAGATCAAGTTAATTTGTTTTTCAAAAGTAAAAAACTGGTCGAGAACAAACCCAAGACTACGGAAGTGAGTCACCACATCGAAGTACTCGTTCGCTAAAAACAACTTGATCAGGAATTGTGATTCTACTTCTTGAACGGACAAACAAGAATTCGGTTTTGTCTTCATTCATTTTGAGATTCATGCTAGAAAATCACTCTTCAACTCTATATACCACTTGCTGTGCTTTCATTCTATATACCACTTGCTGTGCTTTCATAGTCCCCGCTTCAACGTTGTCAGTAGTAAAATAAAGTGTACTGTCATCTGCGTAAATGCGATAGTCAACATCAATTTCATTCAGAATATCACGCAACGGAATGAGATAATTAAAGAACAATAACGGCCAGAGTACAGAACCCTGTGGAACGCCTACTTTCCGCCTACTTTCAGATATAATCAGAAGACACGCCATTGATAAAAACACGGTGCGTGCGGTCACTTAGGTACGACTTGATACACGATAAAGCCTTTTTTACTCCGAACCTATTCTCGAGTACGTCACACAGTTTAGAATGATCTACTGTTTCAAAGGCAGCACTCAAGTCGAGAGCGATAAGAACCATAGTATTCTTCTTGTCAAGTGAACAGAGGACATCGTTCGTAATGCGCAACAACGCGGTCTCTGTTGAATGAAAGATTCTGTAAGCAGACTGAAAAGGATCGAAAGCATTGTTATTTTCCAAAAAAGTTGTGAAACGCTTAGCCACAGGCTTCTCCAAAACTTTCTTAAAAAAATGAATGCTGGTGACGAGTCTATAATTCTTCAGGGTTAATAAGTAGTGACTTGTCTAGCACTCTTCAGGGTTAAAAAACCAATGTTGGTGACGGGTCTACAACTCTTCAGGGTCAATATTGGTTTTCTTGAGTAGTGGGATGACTGTACCAGTTTTCAAACATTTCAGGTAAGTACCAGAAGTAAAAGAAAGGGTAAATAGGTAAAGCAGTATCGGCAAGAGAATAGATTTCATTGACTTAAGAAGCTTCGTTGGTACCACCTGAAGTGGACACGACATGTATGTGACATCGTCCAAAGCTTTTGATAATTCCAAGTCAGAGACGCTTGCTAAAACTTCAAGCTGAAGCTCTTGCACTGGATGGTTGAAAAGAACTGAAGTGGCAGAAATTGCTTCAACACGATTGTCTACTTTCGACACAAAAAACTGGCTAAAAGTATTCGCCAGAGACTTTTCATTGAAACCGGTGGGTAGCAAAGAAGCTTTTTTGCCACAAAGGATGTCAAGTTCTTGATTTCTCAGTTTTGAATCATGCTTTCATAAAGACTTTTTATTTATCAAGTAAGATAGTGTTCATTTCCATCGACTTGGCGCGAAACTCGGCTAGGCTAGTTTGGGGAAAAACACTTGCGATATTGCTGCTCAGCTCTTCTTCTTTCCTTTTTTGTTGTTCTCAGTTCATCATCGAAGTAGGGGCAGGTGTGCAATGAAAAGAAGCCTTTTTTCTCGGGAGCCAAGGAGTCGGCAACTTCATCTAAACAAGTAAGCAAGGTTGAAAATGAATCGCAGCAATTCCCGGGATACGCCATTTTTTGGTCGATCAGAAGTTTGAATTTATTGCTCAAACTTTCCAATGTAATTTTCTTCCACTGTCTATAAACAACTGTTTTCTTTGAGACTGAAGCTTAAGTATCCGTGAGGTAATTAAAATTAATGCAATTGTGGTCGCTTGCATTTTCTTGATCAACAAAAATATTCGCAGGTGTATAAGTTGAAATGATCAAATCTAATGTATGACCGTATATTTGAGTTGGTTCACGTAGGTGCTGTTCAAGGCCGGCTCCAGAAATAACAGAGAAAAGTCGTGGTGCTCTCGAATCAGCTTCAAGCTCGGCGTGGACGTTGAAGTCTGCTAAGCATAAAATGTTCGTATAATTCGAAGCATATTCGACTAGTACTTTCGCGAATTCTTCAATGAAGACAGTAAAATTTGTCGCAGGAGGACGATACACAAGCATTAAAAGTAGCGAGGTCATTTGAAAAGCCATGACCAAGGCCTCCCAATTATCATTTGTCATGCTCTCAAGGAGATCGTTCACAAGTTTCGTCAGTGTGTCGATTGATTCGAGTTTCTTTTCGATTGAAAACAACCGAACCGCCATTTCGTCTGTCTTTCTCTCAAGTTTGCCAGTTTCGTGGCATTCGGGACATACCCATGTGATCGTACCATAAATCGACGAGGTATTCATTGATACACCCACACAAGACAGATGTACAGCTTTCAGCGAGCAAACAAAGCACTCAGTAAGAACTGAGGTTGAATCCCGCTCCGAACAAATGCCACAACAAGTTGGCGCTCTCGTAAGGACAGGCAGTTCTGAAATAAGTGAGAAAGGCATCAATCAGATTTTAATCAACCGAGTACACGGCTAATTTAAGCAGGTATTCAATTACCTTTTCAAACCGATTGAAGATTATCAATTAAACCAGGTGTGGTAACCGAATATACAGCATAAGGAAATAACGAATACTTCTTTCAGAAATAAGAAAAGTAAAAATAAACCTAAAGATAGTCAAACTTTTACTGTGAGTCGGATTTGAGCCAACGAGCTTTTGGAGTATTGCGCCCGTATTTGCAGTAACTTATTTGTTGCTAAAAAGCTTATGATCTGAATTGTTATTATGATTTTCGAGTACCAGAACAAAGATGGTAATTGACATATTGACAGAAACTCCTCCTCTTATCAATCCATGACTCAGTGAGGTTCATAGCAAAGGTCCATTCCAGTTACTCGACAGAGGAAGCCATGCCATATATACGGTCAATTTTTCAACGCAAAAATAGATACCACCACAAAAAAATAAAATACAAGATCAAAATTGTCCAGGATTTTTAGGCAAAATTAGAATGAATTTTAAAGTCACGTTATTACAGACATTTAGCTCTATTTATCAAAATTTAGCTCTATATAATCATTTATATCAATGGCATATATCTTTATCAATGAAATCAAAATCAACCTTTCTTTTCGAGATAATGAAAAGACAAAAACAGACGCCGCCACTACGGTAATTCACCAAAACGAGTGTCAACTAAAGCCTTAGAGTGTCAACTGGTTTCAATGACCGACTTAGACGAGACGGCGCAATAAAAACTTCCTTTGGATGCAAGTACGCACCACTCAATCAATTGAACAAAGAGTCGAAGCGGATTGATGTTCAATTTGATGAATAAATTCGAAACAAACAACTTAGCGTTATATTAGCGCAAACACAAAACTTACCAAGCGGTAACTACGCAGAACTGACGTGGGTATACGTTCATGAGCTGAAAAAAGTGAGAAAAATTTCAAAACCCGATAAAAAAACAAGGTCCAGCCGGATCTCTATCCGCAGATCTTAGACACACATGACACGTGTTTTATTACTAGACCAAACACGAAGTGTACATGAAAAGTAGGAACGGGGGAGAAGACACTTAGTTCTCCGAGAACTATTTAGGAACCAATAAATGTACAAAGAAAATTCTCATTTCTAGAACCGTGCAAAACATTGCGACTTTTTATATCAAAGTGATATAAAAAAAATCATCATTTTCTCAAGCAAAAAGTCACCGACCTACTAAATCGGCATGCAATTGTTCCAATGATTCGTTTTTCCGTTGTTTTCGCCAGATGAAGCTGTACCTTTCGAAGGCAATTATCCGCGTTGTGACTACAATGTCTTCCAGTATCTGGATCAACTCTTTAGTGGACATTGAGTGTAGCTGCCTCTGGCCATCAGCCCCTAAACACCAGAAGATATAACATCTCACCTTGGCATCTGCTTCGTCCTATTGGAAATTGTTGCAAAGTGGTCCTCTTTCTCGAACTCTTGCTGTTGGATTTTCCCAGTTGACCTTTTTTTCCTGATTTCGTATATCTCGTTTCCGCGTTTCCACCTCAGTTTCACCGTTAACTTCCATCTCGTAAATTGGTTACGTTGGTTCTATAATTGGTGGTCTTACATGAAATAGAGTTCGCACTTGTATACCGTCTTTAGCCAGGATGGCCATCTCCATCATGGCTGTCCATTTTGTCCATTCCATTGGCGGTTCCGCCCTTGCGTTCTGCCAGATGCTCAGCGAATTTTTGTATCCTGCTGGCTGCGCGTGTCGAACCGTGCTGTAGGATCTGTATTGAATCCATAAGTTTTGGCGACTAAATTGATAACTCAATAAGAAAAGAGAAGTAAACTGAAACAACCTCTTTTCTCAGTTCTGCACATGTTGTGCTCTCAGCAAAAAGACTGCCCGTTTTTCTCAAGGCCAGCTGATCTGTGGTATAAATTATATAAATAGCTATAAAAATGTATATATGTACATCACTATCATGATGCCAATTCGGCCGGACTAAACTCTCGGTGGTCTTTTAAATTTTTGTCTTTAGTAAAATATGAAATGAGCTAAAACTTTTTGTCCGTTTATTTAAATCGTTGCTTTTATTCAAGTTGCCTATAAGCCTTTATAGCTGCAGTAAAAGGATGGTCACTAAATTTTAGGAGTCTGTTGACGTCTTCGAAAAACAGAACTGCATTCATTTGCCGTCTGGTATTTTTTGAATTCTTTCAAGAAACGTCTTATTGACTTTAAATTGGCCTAGGAACCAAAATTACAAAAACCGCATCTCTCAACACCAAAATGATACCGTAGAATTGCTATCAGCATCAAAAAAAAATCCCACTGAAAATGTTCGATATGATCCGCCACTCGATATTTTCCGACGCGATGATTCCTTGTGGCATCTGATGATTGCGTTTAAAACAAAGCTCTTTCCACATGACCAATCTTCAGCTTCTCGCGTTTTGTGGCGGGAACAAGAACTCGCCGGTTCGCGATATGTTAAATGAACTCTAACACAAAGTCATTTCATTCCACTTTCACAAAAATTCAATCCTTAGCTAATTAACCGGAGCTACACCGCAGTTTTTGCATTGATGCAAAAATGAAAAAAGATATGAAGTTTGTTCCCAATCAATTGTTAGCTGTGGACAAAAACAGCCAGTCAATTATGGGAGTTATAATTGGGCCAAGCATCGGAGCTCAATTTCAGAGAAAACAAGCAAGCTACAGGTCAAACTAAATGAACAAGAGTAGCTTCAAAATAGATTCAGAAAGAAATAGTACTAATGTAATGATTGATTCTTTTAAGCTTCGTAGCAGTACTAAAACAAAACTAAGCAACTTACAAAACTAAGAATGAAACTATGAGTTAAATTTACACCCATTCAATTACGAGAGTTGCAATTTTGCCGAGCATCGCAGCTTGATTTTACAGAAAACGAGCAAGCAAAAAGCACCTTATTTAGATACAAAAAGCAATAAGTAAGTTGTCAACAGAGAAAAGTGTTTGAATTAAGGAATTTTGCAAAGCGCCGTTTCAAACACATGTATGCACTCTGCAAAAATGAGAAAAGGTATTAAGGTTATACCCAATCAATTGTTAGCTGAGGACAAAAACAACTAGTCAATTATGGGAGATTCAATTTAGTCAAGCATCGAAGCTCGATTTCAGAGAAATCATGCACGCTACAGGGCAAATTGTTTGAACAAAAATAGCTTTAAATTAAATATCACAAAAAATAGAAGATTTGGTGTCATGGATTCTTCTATGCACTGTAGCTGGATGAAAACAGAAATATGCAAGCTACAAAACTTAGAATCAAGTTAAGAGTTAGGTCTGCACCAATTCAATTATTAGCTGAGGACAAATACATCCAGTCAATTATGAGAGTTGCCTTTAGCCGATCATCGAAGTTTGATTTCACGAAGCGAGCTAAAAAAAATATTTGATCAAAACTTGCATTACATAAGATTCCACTGAGGAAAAGATTTTTTTTTGGATTGATGGATTCTAGTAAGCGTAGTTTCAAACAAAAAATGCAGTCAGCAAAGTTCAGAAAAGATCTTGAATTTGTACCCAATCAGTTGTTAGCTGTGGACAAAAGAGCCAGTCAATTATGGGATTTTCAGTTTAGCCAATTACCGGAGCTCGATTTGAGAAGAACAGGCAAGCTACAAAGCAAATTGTTTGAAAAAACTGCATTAAATTAGGTGTCATCAGATAGAAATAGGAATTTTAGACTGATGAACTCTTTCAAGCTTCGTAGCTGGATTCAGACAAAAAATATGCAACCTTCAAAACATTGATGTGGACAAAAACAGCCAGCCATATATGGGAGTTTCAGTTTAGCCAAACATCGGAGCTCGATTTCGGAGAAAAGAGGCAAACTACATAGCGAAACGCTTGAACAAAAACTGCATTACATTAGATGTCATCGAATAGAAATATGATTTTTGGATTGATGGATTCTTCTAAGCTTCCTAGCTGGATTCAAGCAAAAATATGCAACAAACAAAACTAAGAAAGGAAGATATGAGTTAGTTTTGCACCGACTCAATTGTAAGCTGTGGACAAAAACAGCCAGTCCATTTGGGAGAATTCATATTAGCCGAGCTCACAGAAATCAAGCAAGCAAAGATTAAATTAGTTGTCAGCAAAAAAAAGAGTTTCTGGTTTCATGAGCTTTGCTAAGTGTCGTTTCAAAGAGTTCTGCAGTCTGCAATAGAAAAAATAAACGACTGGGCTAGTAGCTGGATTAAAACAAAAAAATGCAACCTACAAAACTAAGAAAGAAGTAAAGAGTTAGGTTTGCAAACATTCAATTGTTAGCTGTGGACAAAAACAGCCAGTCAACTATGGGAGATTCAATTTAGCCAAGCATAGGAGATCGATTTCAGAGAAATCAAGCAACCTATAAGGTAAATCTTCTGAAAAAAAAAGAAGTAAACAATGTGTCAGCAGAGAAATTGTATAAAATTCTGCAATCCACAAAGGTAAAAATGCAGTTAAACTTTTAACCAAGTTATGCTAAGCTGCGGACAAAATCAGCCAGTCAATTATGAGAGTTGCCTTTAGCCGAGCATCGAAGTTTGATGTCACGAAATCAAGCAAGCAAAGAGCAAATTATTTAGCTTAAAAAGAATATATTAGATGTCAACAGAGAGAATTTTTTGGATTGAGGAAACTTTCTGAGCGTCGTTTGAAACAAAGCTATGCTGTCTGCAAAGTAAAGAAAAGATAATCAGTTTATACCCAATCAATTGTTAGCTGTGAACAAGAACAGCCAGTCAATTAGGGGAGCTTCAAATTAGCCTAGCTTGATTAGGGGAGCTTGATTTTAAGCGAAATCAAGCTAGCTACAAGGCAAACTAAATGACCAAAAATAGCTTCAAACTAGATTCAGAAAATGATAATATTAATGTATTGATTGATTCTACGCTTCGTTGCTGGACTAAAAAAAAACTATGCAACCTACAAAACTAAGAATGAAGTTAGGAGTTAAGTTTGCATCCATTTAATTATGAGAGTTTCAATTTAGCCAGGCATTCGAGCTTGATTTCACAGAAATCAAGGAAGCAAAGAGCACAGTCTTTCGATAAAAAGCAATAAGTTAGCCGTCAACAGAGAAAAGTTTTCGAATTAAGGAATTTTGCAAAGCGCCGTTTCAAACACATGTCTGCACTCTGCAAAAGTGAGAAAAGGTATTAAGGTTATACCCAATCAATTGATAGCTGAGGACAAAAACAGCTAGTCAATTATGGGAGGTTCAATTTAACCAAGCATCGGAGCTTGATTTCAGAGAAAACATGCAAGCTACAAAGCAAATCATTTGAACAAAAACAGTTTAAATTAGATATCACAAAGAAAAATAGGAGATTTGGTTTCATGGTTTCTTCTATGGTCCGTAGCTGGATTAAGAAAAATATGCAAGCTACAAAACTAAGAGAAGAAGTTAAGACTCAAGTTTGCACCCATTCAATTGTTAGTTGTTGACAAAAACAGCCAGTCAATTATGAGAGTTGCCTTTAGCCGAGCATCGAAGTTTGATTTCACGAAATCAAGCAAGCAAAGAGCAAATTATTAAGCTTAAAAAGAATATATTAGATGTCAACAGAGAGAATTTTTTGGATTGAGGAAACTTTCTAAGCGTCGTTTGAAACAAAGCTATGCTGTCTTCAAATTAGAGAAAAGATAATCAGTTTAAACCCAATCAATTGTTAGCTGTGAACAAGAACAGCCAGTCAATTAGGGGAGCTTCAATTTAGCCTAGCTTGATTAGGGGAGCTTGATTTTAAGCGAAATCAAGCAAGCTACAAGGCAAACTAAAGGACCAAAAATAGCTTCAACTAGATTCAGAAAGTGATAGTATTAATGTATTGATTGATTCTGAGCTTCATTGCTGGACTAAAAAAAACTATGCAACCTACAAAACTAAGAATGAAGAAGTTAGGAGTTAAGCTTGCATCCATTTATTTATGAGAGTTTCAATTTAGCCAAGCATTCGAGCTTGATTTCACAGAAATCAAGGAAGCAAAGAGCACAGTCTTTAGATAAAAAGCAATAAGTAAGCTGTCAACAGAGAAAAGTTTTTGAAATAAGGAATTTTGCTAAGCACCGTTTCAAACACATGCATGCACTCTGCAGAGTTAGGAAAAGGTAGTAAGTTTGTATCCAATCAATTGTTAGCTGTGAACAAAAACAGCCAGTCAATTATGGGAGCTTCAATTAAGCCAAGCATCGGAGCTAAATTGCAGAGAAATCATGCAAGCTATAGGGCAAATCATTTGAACAAAAATGGCTGTAAATTAGATATCATAAAGAAAACTAGGAGTTTTGGTTTCATGGAATCTTCTATGCACCGTAGCTGGGTTAAAACAAAATAAGCAAGCTACAAAACTAAGAAAGGAACTTCAGATTTAAGTTTGCACCCATTCAATTGTTAGTTGTGGACAAAAACAGCCAGTCAATTAGAAGATTTTCAATTTAGGCGAGCATCGGAGCTAGATTTCAGAGATGTCATGCAAGCTACAAGGTAATTCATTTGAGCAAAAATGGCTTTAAATTAGATATTACAAAAAAAAATAGGAGATTTGGTTTCAAGGATTCTTCTATGCACCGTAGCTGGATTAAAACAAAATAAGCAAGCTACAAGACTGAGAAAGGAACTTCAGATTTAAGTTTGCACCCATTCAATTGTTAGTTGTGGACAAAAACAGCCAGTCAATTAGAAGATTTTCAATTTAGGCGAGCATCGGAGCTAGGTTTCAGAGATATCATGCAAGCTACAAGGCAAATCATTTGAACAAAAATGGCTTTAA